GCTTGAGATCTGTCGGATCGATAGGAGTGAAGAAGTTTACGACCAGTTCTATGGGTCCGGCGGTGAATGTGAACACCGATTGGGTTGGAGTTACGCGAAGACCCGTCTGTACGGCTCGAATGCCTTCGAGACCACCCATAAACACAAAGGTCTGTCCGTCGACCCGAACCATACCGGCCATACCTGTAACGGCTCCGGTGTAGAATCGGGGCCAATCGCCTGATAATTGGCTGCCAAATAACCAGGTGGACAGGTATGGACTCTTCACCACCAGTGGTACGGCTGGCAATACATCTGTAAAAATATTATTTAGCAAGAATTTATTTTAGATCAAGATTAAACTATAATCACCATCTGCTTTTTTAATCGTTATTGAATTCCTCATTATACTATACACATCTAATTTTAAATCTTGTAGTTCACGTTGGGTATCAACTAGGTCATTTTTCAAAACATCCCGATCGTGTTGAGTGGCATTTAGGGCGCGTTGCAAAGTATTTAGCTCGTCGGTGAGCCAATTGGTGCGCCGGCGCGTAGCCATTAAAATGGGCTGCGATTGTTGATACGTCCAGTACTGTAGCCGTTGACACAGCACTACGTGTGCCGAACCGCACAACACGTTCGCCCACTCGCCGTGCGTTTCTATCGCACCCACCGTTGAATACATGGATTTCATTGTCACGCAGTCATAGCCCGGGTCGTTCGTGGGTTCACCCGACAGCCACCGGCTGTACTCCATGTCCGTACCGTCGGTCCATTGGAAACCAGTGCTCGACCGACGACGCTGTCGGGCGCCGATCCATACGTTAGTCCCGTCGGCGAAAACTTTGGCCAAATAGTGTGTTAGAAATGACTGCTCGTCCGCCGTATGAATGGTGGTTAAAGTGGTGCTAAACGGCAACGCCTGGAGTCCGGCGCAGAATTCAACACTTTGGGTGTATGTCATGGGAGGGGTTGTGTTGAACACACGGTAACACTTCTCGTCCCGATAGGCGACCCAACCCTCATTACAAACGTTATGTGTGGCTATTATTGGTCACATAAATTAGCATGCTTATTATTTTGCAGATATTTTACTTCGTATTAAAAATGAATTAAAATTTATTTTACCTAGATAATAGTAAAATAATTGAAATAACGTAAATACAAATAATAAAGTTTTTGTTGTCATGGTAAACGTAAATGTGATAAATGTGTTTATGTTCGACAACCTTATTCCCAGTGCACACAACGGTCAGAATTATTTCTCCAATTAAATCATACAATAATATAAAGTAAACGATTGCATTTCAATAGTAAAGAGCGTTACACACAAAATCACACACACAACAGTTACACAATCAGGGGGTGGGGGTGAAAACTATAGACAGGGATAGAAAACAAGAGATAGTAACGTGGTTTACGGGCTGTACTCGTAAATATATAAAAGCACCTAGTTTAAAAATAAAAGTACAAACTCTTTGAAATAGAATTAAGTTCTCGTCTTTCTATTAACTTTCGTATCACTGTATTATTCATTTAAAATACACTATCATTATTTTATTAGTGTTGCTAACATTAAAATATTATTAGTTTAAATTGAATATAAATATTTTTTAACCAAGTCAATGTAAATATAACAATGATTTAATTGTATTTGTATTAGTACTCATACCTTATGAGTCATGGGTAATTAATCATGATGTAATATACGTGCAAATTTGCATGTTTGCAATTGAAGATTAAAGGAAATTAAAGTAATTAGTCATTTTCTTTTATATAATATTTCCGGACATTTAATTACGTAATAACAAGTCTCTCATTCAAAATGCAATCTATGTTTTCAAAGCATGTTTTCAAATATAAGATACGTATAACTTATACGGTATAAGAAATATGTTTGCATACAATGAATACATTTCTTAAAGTAATTAATAGATGCAGTATTTGACTGACAACTTGCATGTTTTTATAAAATTATCTTGCATAAATTTGATCTATTCTAAATTCCAATCT